TCTCTCTCTCTCTCTCTCTCTCTCTCTCTCTCTCTCTCTCTCTCTCTCTCTCTTTCTCAAGACAGTTTCTCCCGACTAGTAATTCCAGTTTAATTTGTACTCACGATTGGGATGACTTCGCGACTGCTGCGAATTCGGTTTCGGAGTTCGGTGTTTCGTCGGTCCGCTTCAAACTCGACGGTGGCGCATGGTAATTCGCACTACGAGGGATGAATAGGTCGTACGGGTAACGCACCCTTAACACACGACACGCACCCCCCGTTCACCTTCCGCTCGCGGTTCGCGCGCACCGAATGTCGAGACGCACTTGAGAACGCTCTGAAATCTCGGTCTTTGCCTCTTGCTATTTTAGCTGGAGCTCGCACGGTGAAGAATAAACACTCCGGCAGGTGTGTGACCCTCTCTTCCTCTCCTCCTTTTTCTCCCCTTCTTCTTGCCTCTCTATCTTTCTCTCTCTCCTCTCAGTGTCTGGCGAGATGGAGAACGACACGGACGAACCGTCGGTCACGAAGGGTAGCGGTCGACTGAGGCGCCTCGACGTGCACCAGCTCGCTGCACCTCCCGCGCTCACGGCTGAGGCCGATCGCCGCGCGGTGGGTGCACGTGTGCCCGCGTGGGTGCCCGTGCACTTGCGTGCGGACGCGCGTGTGTGCAAGCGCGTAGCCGAGGGAGCACAGGCGAGCCCGCGCTCGTATGTACTCGCATCGGAATTATTATCGCGCCTGGCACTCGCGAATCCCTGGGCTCGCGTCACCAAGCGCCTGCAGAACGTCTGCCGGATCTGCACCGAAAAACACGGTTTGGTATTTGTAATGGTCAAAACAAATAATTACTATAAATTATGGTCTAAAAAACTATTTTTTTTTTTTTTTATTAAATTCTACTATAGTGTTAGTGATGATGATCTTATATGCACGTTGCCACTACCATTTTCCTGTTAGAACAACCAAAAAATATGATTGGGGCCAAAAATAACTGTAGTTTCAGTTAGATTAACCATTTCTTTTCTCTCACGTGTACGTTTCACGTGCGATGCCCTGCGGTTGCTTCGTGGACAGCCACGGTCCCGAGTACATCGCGAGTTGCATCGCAACGCAGCTCTACCGTCCTCCTCCTCGTCCCTCCATCCGCGCCGCGGCGACGACGTCGAATTTGGGACGAACGCGGTTTTGCTTTGCCTTCGCTTTGTCGGGGCGAAATTTGTTACTCGGTTCACCCTGAGGGAGAGCAATGCTTTCGCTAATCTGTCACAAGCCTGGCAATGAGGCGCGAGAGGGAACATACTTAGAGCCGTTTCCTTCGTGGTCGTTCGCGCGCATCGTTGCATTTGTATTTCGTGGTGGTTGAAGGTATTATGTATTTGGAAATCGGGTCAATGCGTCCGTGCGCCACGACTACGCAAAATGCAGCGTAGAGTGTGGGCAACATAGCGCGTTGCAACTCACGTCGCGATCTCTGGAAAAGCGCGACCTGTCGCGGGATATGCTCGTTTGTTGCGGCTTGTTTTTGCATACCTCCCACTGACTCTCTCGCGTGATAGTGAAATGAGCATACAGCAGCACGCCTACGAGGGATCCCCACACACGAAAGAAAATTTCCAACGTCGTTTTTAATGTTGATATCGACGCGAACTTATCTTACCGGTTTCCACGAGCGAGTTTCGCCTCTCGTGAGCGTCTTCTGTCCGGTTTCTCTTGAAATGAGCGGTAGAGAGAACCGTGAATGGAGCTGATGAAAGTCCAATTCCGCAACGATACTCGTCATTAGACAAAACGATCGGAGAGGACGGAGGCCATTTTGTAAAACGGCAGTTCCTGTGCACGCGAAAAAGTCGCGCGTACTTTTTGTAATTAGATGCTTAAAGCCAACGGTGGAAAGAACAACGTTTGTTTTTACATTGGCGCGCCAGTCAGTCGTAATCTGGTTAGCGCAGGCTAATAAATTAAGTCAATGTAAGCTTCGGGGGATGGATCAGACCGTCTTACGCCTCAGTTAATTCTGTTTCACATGCCGGTAACCAGGCTCCATGTGCGCGCGCGCGCGCATGTAAAGTTCGAAACGGCTCAGTCAACGTCACCGATTCGTCTCGTAATTTACGCCATGGAGTTCCCGAATTTCCGTCTCCGCAGCAGCAGCAGCAACAGCAGCAGCAACGGACCGCGGCTTTTTTCCCCTCAATTTTTCCGCGATTTCTGTCGATCATCGGTGGTGGAAATAGCGGAAAATCCTGAACACTGCGAGCTCAACGCGTCATTCTCGGCAGAACGCTCGCCGCCGTGACTTCGTGTCGTACGCTTTAAACGCGCGAAAACTTTTCAGCACGAGATTAAACGACAAAAGATACGTTAAACTTCACCACCGCCGCTATTTGTCGGCCGGAATGTCCGTAATCTAGCCGGGAAAGTTCGCCATTTTCTACCTAATTTCGCGTCTACAGCGTATCTTTTTTCGCGTATCTCTGCTCGTGAATGTAAAATTAAAAGAATAAAGGGGGAACGTAGCGGAGCAGGAAACAAGATACGCACGTCAAACATGACCGCCCTTTCGCCCCGGTAAAACCAACCAACTGACATTGCTTCGGATTAAAGGGAAAACAGCGCGAGTGAATCGCGCGTAATTTATGCGGCAGGCCCTTCTCTACCCTTTTCGAAAGATATCGTTTTCGACCATAAATCCGTCCAAGCGTTTACGAAACCGTGCACAGCCGTCGAATCGCATCCGCGAGCCGTTTGATTCTCCCTCGCCGATAAATCACAGTTATTCGCGTGTTGGATTCGACGCGCTGTTAAGCGCTCCCGTATTTCAGGCATTAAGAGATTCAAGATTTGTGGAGTGGAGCGGGGATTTGCGGGATAGAGATCCATCCGCATGAGAGAGAACAATGCAAATTGTGATTGCGAGTTTGTGGTTAAGTGAACTGCTCTATCTTGAATTTTATTAATTCATTGTGAATAAAATTGTAGTCGCTAAAATCGACGAATTTTCGCCGATTTTAGCTTTCTTCACTGATTATTGTGTTGAAATAATGCGCAGAGGAAATATTGTGTGATAAAAGTTACGTTAAAATTATATTTCTTTTTACGCTGTTCCTTATGAAACTGAACTGTACTGAGAATACTTGTAATAAAAATTACTATACTTGCAATAAAAATTATTATATACCGCAAAAGGATTTGGTTGGGTTAACCAAATATCTCTTGTGAAATATGAATGAATCAAAAGATTCCGATCGAAGTTAAATTCTGCTTAAACAAGATTTCTAATTATCATTAACAAAATTCTGATAATTTCAACCGAAATTTTTGGTTCATTCATATTTTATCAGAGATTTGGTTACATTTTCCCCGTGTGCAAACAATGTTGATTAGTTTAAATCTCATTACTGATATCTGAACGATAAGTATAAGACAAAAACAGCATTCTCATTTAAACGTAGTCTATTGTTCAAAAGTATTTCGTAATCGATCGTGTTAGTGTGTCTATCGTAAAATTACATGTCAATAATAACGAACAGAGGTACACAGCCGCGTGCACGTCGTTTATCAATGTCATAACGATCATAAAATATCGTATTGTTCGCGCGTCGCCTGGCGAATAATTCGCGAATATCCGCACTTTCGCCCCCTCGACCATTTCGCCGCGGCTGCCGCCGCCATGAGTCTTTGTTTCTCCGACTGCTGCTCGAGCCAGATGCTCGGCAACAATAACGCCTTTAATTATCGTATGCAATTAAAATCGTTTCCACGGGCGACTCGGTTAACTGCGCCGACGTTTGTGCGACTCTCGAGCCGAATGTCGGGCTGCAACTAATGACAGAGAGTAAAAAGCGCGATGTCTGAATTAGAAGCGTTTAATTTTATATCGCAACGAATTCGTAATTTGTTTCGGTTTACAAAAAGTGAAAATACTTCGAATTTTTGGTCAACGTTTGACAGCCGTAGAGTCGGTTAAGTGACTTTGTTGTAACGTTTGATTATCTTATATAGATCTAGACATCCTCTTTAACTCGTGAAAGACGCGCTGCTAAAATTACGGAAAATATCATTTAACCTTATCTTTCTGTACCGACACTAACTGTTCTCTTATGCATGACGCGTTGGAAAATATACGCATATGACATTCTCCAACGAACGGGCGAGAAATGACAGGATTAGCAAGTATAATGCGAATGAGATTTTCTAATAAAGAAAAAGAAAAGAAGGCAAGAAAAAAATTACGACGGAGAGGCAATGCTGCAAGAAGAATAGAAATGCAACACTGCGGTTGAAATACGTGCGAAGAAAGCATAATATTTCTTATGTATTCACCCTTACGCACAGGATTCTTTGTATTAGGGCTTCGTTGTCGCATCGTCAAACTTTGTGACACGTTCTACACGTGTAAAAAGTTATAGCAAAGTTTAAATTAACATACATTACTTCTAACGTAGACTCTAACAATGAAAATTTAACTTTAACTTGAAATATAATTATATATTTTCACAAATTAATTTTTTTAAATCTTTAAAACGTCTTTAGTATAATTTTAGTTTATTTTAAAGTGCCTTAATTATGTAACTTACTCAACTACAGAGAGATAGAATATATTGCGATATATATAAAGAAATATTAAGTAGTTTAATAAAAATTAATCTGTTTGAATAGTAGTTTGTATAGTGTAACATTTGAAGATTTCCCATTGATCCCTCAAGCTCGACGTTGTTGTATTAAGGAATTAAACATTCGCAATGTTAAAGTGGATGACAAACTCTAAAAATGTTGATAACGTAGACGTGACCGTCATTAACGTTTATATTATCCTTTTTACACATTTCTTGTACATATAAACTTTATGTGAATCTGTGTTGCTTTGTTTTACCATGTGCTAGTAGAAATCTTCCTGAAGACTTTTGAAATGTTCGTTAGCGAAACAAATACACATGTGGTATGCATGTTATAGAACTAATAAAGATATTCACGTTATAGAACTAATAAGGATATTCAAAGTTTTTAGAAAAGGAGCGAAATGTCTATATAGACGCTTGGCTGCACTTTATCGATCTTACAATCCGCTTCCACAAGAAACGTCGCGTTTTCTCTAACGAATCGTTACGCCGCAATTTCTCCTCCCGTTTCGTGAAACGCGTTCGCGAAATCCAACGAATCGCGAACGATAATTTCGTGGGCAGTCTATCACTGCGACCCACTGTGAAATGTACGAGCAACAACCTGCAGAAATGGCCGCTCGTATGAGAGCGTGGTCGAGGAAAATCCGCTTCTTCGCGCTACAAGTCGGACGCTTCCCTTTGACGTACGTACGCGTCGTAATTTCTGATGCTTCGCAGCTAATCTGGCATGACCGTAATATACGCGCGGCGGACGCACAACTGAAAGATGAAATATTCCCCGTACGCGCCGGAATAGCCGTAATAACGCACGTGGACGTTGAGCGCCGAGCGACAACTCAATATGTTTCTATCAGGCTCGCTTTCCTACCGCTGCCTCGCGTGCTTCGCGTTAAGATTAAAGCGACGTGGTTAATTTCAATTTCAGAACGCTTAAATCTGCCC